AAGTATTCGACATGTAACAACTTCTCTCTAAAAACAATATTATCAACAAAAACTAAAAAACTTTTGAATGATTTAAGCTGTTATTGTTGAATTTATTGTAACTATGAAAACAAACTAAATCAGTAAGTTAACGATTTTACACCGTTTTCCTTTTTATTATATATTTGTGTCATTTCTGTTTTGTTGAATTTCACCTTTTTTTGTACTGTATGTAGTCACTTTCCGGGATGGCCTTCAGTTCCGTCTTCGCTGCGGCTTGAATATAGTATAAAAACGATGTCCCCGGAGCGGTCTTTTGAGCTTGGTGAACAGCCAGAAGTCGCACGGCGCCAGATCAGGTGAATACGGTGGTTGCGGAACGATATGGGTTCAGTTTTTGGCGAAATGATCATTTAATGCAAATTCTTTCCTCAACAAATTTCGAYATCGCCAAAAACGAAACACTCAATTTTAGCAGCTCACAAAACTGCACGTTTCTCAAACACTAATGAATATTTTGACGTGAAATTTGACAAAAATGTGACTTACAGTACTACCAAACTAAAAAAAAATAATTCTCCAAATCCTTCGACGCGCGCAGTTCAAATTCAAATGTCACCTTATTTTTTGGGCACAGTAGTATATTTTTGGCTTGTGGTTATTTGACCGCACAATTTTCTTTTCTAAATTTCCATAGTGCCTGTCACAATGGCTCGAAGGACCATATGTTTACACACTTTTCTGCTTCCACGACACTTGCTGCGATTGGGTGTCTCATCCGGGATTCTTTTCCATTCACTGTACCGTTTTCGGGGACTCCAATTAAACACCTATGACACACGGCTAAGCAGCATGCATCAGCCTCTTTGTAAAACATGGTCGGACGAAAGCATATCCAACGATTGGAATTTAMGTGTGATATGCACAATTCTTAAAAAAGGAGACCACATAATCTGCGHATATAAGGTTCTATCGAACGTATTGTGTGAAAGATTAACGCCCACCGTCAACAAACTGATTGGACCTTATCAGTGTGGCTTTAGACCTGGCAAATAAACAACCGACCAGACATTCACCAAGCGCCAAATCTTGGAAACGACCCGTGAAAAGCGATTCGACACACACTACCTGTTAATCGATTTCAAAGCCGCTTTCGACAGCACGAAAAGGAGCAGCCTTTATGCCGCGATGTCTGAAATTGGTATCCCCGCAAAAATARTACGGCTGTGTAAACTGACGTTGAGCGACACTAAGAACTCCGTCAGAATCGGGAAGGACCTCTCCGAGCCGTTCGATACCAAACGAAGTTTCAGATAAGGCGACTCTCTATCGTGTGACTTCTTCAAAATGCTTCTGGAGAGAATAATTCGAGCTGCAGAACTAAATATAGAAGGTACCATCTTCTACAAGAGTGTACAGCTGCTGGCGTATGCCGATTATATTGATATCATCGGCCTCAACACCCTCGCCGTTAGTTCTGCTTTCTCCAGACCGAACWAGGAAGCAAAGCAGATGGGTCCGGTAGTGAAAGGGCAGACGAAATATTTCCTGTCATCAAACAAACAGTCGTGGCACTCGCGACTAGGCTCTCACRTCACTGTTGACAGTCATAACTTTGATGTCGTAGATAATTTCGTCTACCTTGGAACCAGCAAAAACCAAACTCTATAAGTCATTCATAATTCCCGTCCTGCTATATGGCTTGGACGATGACAACAGCTGATGAGTCGACGTTGCGAGTTTTCGAGAGAAAAAATCTGCGAAAGATTTATGGTCCTTTGCGCATTGGCCACGGCGAATATCGCATTGGATGGAACGTTGAGCTGTATGAGATATATGACGACATTTACATAGTTCGGCGAATTAAAAGATATGGCTAGGTCATGTTGTCCGAATGGACGAAAACACTCCAGCTTTGAAAGTATTCGAAGCTGTACCCGCCAGGGAAGCAGAGGAAGGGGAAGACCTCCACTCCGCTGGAAGAACCAGGCGGAGAAGGACCTGGCTACGCTTGGAAAATCCGATTGGCGCAACGTGGCGATAAGAAGAAACGACTAGCGCGCTGTTGTTAACTCGGCTATAATCGCGTAAGCGGTGTCTACGCCAATTAAAAAGAAGAAAAAGAAGGATTTGGAGATGGTATTCCAATACAACAATACAAGAGTATGCGAAATAAAAAAGTACTTTGAAGTACCAACTGTATGCCCGTATGATTTTAATATTCTATCGTAACTTTTCGTCCATGAGTAAAACTCGACGGAGTAAATACCGGGCAGTTTGTCTACCTTGGTGACACTTTACTTTAGTTTACCGTAAGTTCGAGTTACATTGGTTTTTGCGCACAAAATTTCTTTAAATATTTTAATTTACCGTTAAAAATTAAAAAATTAATATTACTCTCGAAACCAAAATTTATTTTTTAAATTTATTTTTTTAATAAAAAAAAAATAAAAATAAAAGTCATCTGAAACTGCGATTTGTCTAGTGGGTCAACGGCACTGGCGCCGGAATTATTGGTGGCAGAGTTTAGCAGAACTTGCAAATCATAGGTATTGGATATCGGTCGATTGAGGGTTTAAGGGATGTTTATATATATTTATATTCAATGATCAGCAGAAATATCGATAAATTCCGTGAGTTAAAGCGGATATTAGATTTAACAAATTTCTTTATTTAATTTGGTGAACTTTAATAATGGTAAAATTTTAAGATATTGATATTGATAATGAAGATTGCAATGTTTAAATAAATATTTTTTATGTTAATATATATATAATTCAGCTAAATCTTACCTCCCGATAATTTTAAAATTTTAGTATTATTAAGATACAGCAGGCTTAAGTATCAACGCATCATACGGAACATATACGCCAAATTTTACAGTTGACTTTTGGTACAGCTGATACACAAAATAAAAATTTAAAAATATTTTCCACACAATTTCCATCCAATCCAATACTTGAAAGGGGCTAAATGTGTGGGATATAGTTAGATGCAAACACAATATTTGATGTTCATTTTTATTTTACACTCACCACCAAAATTTTTGCTCACTCTTCCTGATTTCACGGCTTTGACTTACAAATAAATGAGTTTGGCCTTTGTTGAATTTATTGGTTCAACCTTTGATTTTTTGTGTAACTGTAGAAGGGTACACATACATAGACCACATACAAAGCGCTGAATACAAATTGGGAATAAAAAATTATTCAATAACTTAAATGTCAGTCACATTCATACTTATTAGGGAAGTTCATTTCTCCTGTAATAACCACTTCTGCTGTCTTCTATATACTTATAATATTATGGTTGTAATGCTGAAAGATGAAATTATGAATATATTCTTATGTCAAAATGAAATTCGGCTATAAAGCGCTAAGGCACTAAATGTTGTGTTCAAGCTCCTCGAGCGTTGCTGATTAATTTGCCTAAACCTATGATATGACATAGCACCTGGTGAAAATAATCTATCGCATGATCCTGACGGCAATGTCCCGAAATTAACTAGTTACCCAAGTTTGTACGCATTGTGTTCATGTCCATGACCACTTGGAGAAAGACCTGGATCCGCTTGAAATTTCCAATTGGTTTCGAAAAGAAGAAATGACTGTMTCGGATATAATCGCGTAAGCGCTATCTACGCCAGTAAAGAAGAAGAAGAAGATTTAAACTCCGGAAAATGGATGAAATTTATTCTCGTGGTTGTTAAAGGAAAAAGTCAATCAGTAGATATTTAGTACCGATTTCTTTCATTTTCTGTGCTAATGCATATTATGTTTAAGAACAATGTCCACCTATTTTCAATACCAAATATCACAAATTTGTACCAAAATAAACGGTTTTATGTCATCTGGAAAGTCAGAAATCATAATACAGCTTATATTGAAGTTAGATAATGACCCGAAGTGTTTGCAGTAACTTTTGGTATTACTTTTTTATTTAATGATAAGATAATAATAAGATATCTCACACCCTGACCAATATTTACAGCATAAAGGAGCTCTGGTAATTGTTGGACTGCGGAAAATGTGTGAATTGTCTATTATCTGGATTATTAAAAAGTTTCTATCTAATTTTTAGACGTGAGATGTCATACCCTAAAAAAACTATTTGTGCAGAATTGTTCTCCGATACTATTATTAGTGCTTGATTTTTGTATATGGTATATTGAGAATGAGGAAATTCAAAAGCATATTTCGATTCGTTTTAGATGTTTCAAACAACATTTAGTTGAATATAACTCATTTATTTAATTACAGCAGTCTGCAAAAGTATAAACGTTATAGCCATTTCTGTAATAGCAAAATGTTCCATTTTGTCAGTAGAATTTAACAATGCTTACATTTTCCGGAGTAGTGACCACCTTAGTACGGGATTAACTTCTTTCAATTGCTTATTGAAAGAAAAAAATTTTTAACTTGAAAATACAGATTTTTACTAAAATGTATTGAACTATTGAAATACGCGAAATAAAGCCTTGAGTTAATATATTTTTTACGATTGCTCGTTTCTATTAGAAACGTCCGAATTTAATATCAGTTTTGTCTTAATTATTGATAGAAAATACATAGGAAAAGTTKAGGGAGTACATATCCCTCGCCATTCTGCTTTTGTTTTCTACATGGACACTGTACCCTCAGGAAATAGTTGATATAAGGTTAAAATTTTTAAATTATACTCTAGACAATATGTTGTGAACGCATGACAAAAAAATGTTTGTAGGCATTAACGAATGACAATTTAAACGCTGTTAATTGTGCTGCATCGCTCTCAGAATTTAACATATTAAAGTTAGAGGGTTATGTCTTGCAGTTACAGATGTATCTATTGTAGCCATATGCACTATACTATACAACCATACAAAGGGGTAACCATTCTTGCTTAACCACGCTTTTTTAATATTTGCTTATTTATTTCTAATATACATATCTTAAGGTATTTCGCCGTCAATTACTATGACCTTTCAAACTAAATTGATTATCTTTAACATAAACAAATAAGTATGCAACTTTTAGATCAAGTTGAACTTCTTGTTCTGCATGAGGACGATTTTAATATCATTCTACGGCCGACGATGGCAAAGCAATGGATTGAAAGGAAGGCAGCCATTTCATCATTGGAGTATTTTAAGTATTTAAGTCATGATCAGGTAAGCATAATACGGATAGTTATTACTAGTTTGCTACAATACTAATTATACATTTCACACTGTCTTAGATTATTACAGCATGCAAATTAGGCATTATTCGTCAGTTTGATCCACTGGAAACAATATATTATGAAGATAAAGGTCAAATTAGTTACGTACATTTCGTAATTAGTGGGGAATGCATGATTTTACAATGTCTAAAAATGAAGGTGACAAAATAACATACTTTTATAATTTTCCCTCTTACCAATTTCTTTTCATATAGTAGTGAAATATCAATATACTAAAACACATTATTAATAAAATAACTTATGACAAGTTGAACATTTTTAATGTGCCACAGAAAACTTCCAACATATCTACAGCTATGTTATTTATTACATATATAAAAATATATATAAGAAATCGGTCCCAAAAATAACAAATAAGAAAATTAATTAAAACTTGCATACTGATTTTCAGGTTACTACTAAAGCCGGCGGTAAATCTTTTGAACTCTTTGATACTTCTCAAAACGAAGGCGATAATCTACTATTTCAAGATTCCGCTTTAAACAGTTCTAAAGATGGCATCTTTCGCAATATATCGTCGTATTTTGATGCGAATTATGAAATAATGTCTGAAGAGGATGATAAAAATAAAAAAGGAAGTCGACTGGTAAGATATTTTAATAAACTATAGTTAGAACTTCCCAGCGATGTACAAATGGGTATTCCCTCGCATATAATATTCAAATCAACAAAGTTAATAATAAAACCTAATCGAGAGAGTGTATACAGTTGAAATTATTTTAGCCTTCTCCGCCTGATCACTCCAATGGCGTGGAGGTCTTCCTCTTCCTCTGCTTCCCCTGGAGGGTACAGCGTAGAATATTCTCATAGCTGGAGTGATTTCGTCCATTCGGACCACACCACCTTGCCAGCGTAGCCGTTGTCTTTTAATTCGCTGAAATATGTCAAAGATGTTCTATATCTCATACAGCTCATCGTTCCATCGAATGCGACATTTGCCGTTGACAATGCTCAAGGATTTCGCAGAATCTTTCTTTCGAAAACTCGTAACGTCGACTTATCAGATCTTGTCATCGTCTCTGGACCATATAGTAGGACGGGACTGATAACTTATAGAATTTTGTGCTTGTCCGTCCTGAGCGGACTTTACCCCGCAATCCCACCTAGTCAGAAGTATCACCTGTTGGCAAGCAAATTCTGTTCCAGGACGAACGTAATTATCTACGACTTCAAAGTTATGACTGTCAACAGTGACTTGGTGCGACAACTATTTGTTTGATGACAGGAGGTATTTCGTCCTACCCTTGTTCACCTAGTGGTTTCTAGTGCTTCGTTTAATTATCCACTATGGAAAAAGCCGATCTAAAGGCTCGGTTGTTAAGTTCAACAACATCAATATCAACGGCGTACGCCAGCAGCCGTACGCTCTTATAGAAGAGTACCTCCTCTGTTCAGTTTTGCAGCTCGAATTATTTTCTCCAKCAGCAGATTTCTGAAGTTGTAAGATATGGAGTTGCCTTGTCTGAAACCTCGTTTAGTATCGAACGGCTCGGAGAAGTCCTTCCCGATCCTGACGGAGCTTTTGGGGTGGTCAATGTCAGTTTACACAGCCGTATTAGTTTTGCGGGGATACCAAATTCAGACATCGCGGTATAAAGGTAGATCCTTTACGTGATGTTTGGCATCAACAGCAGTTTTGAAAATGACATAGAGTTGGTGCGTGTCGATTTTCTTTTCACGGGTCTTTTCCAAGATTTGGCGCATGRTAAATATCTGGCAAGGTCCAATCAGTTTGTTGACGGTGGGCGATGTTTAGTGGACTTATCGCACAGTAGTTGGTGCAGATTGTGGGGTCTACCTTTTTGTGGACTGGGCAGAGAACACTTAAACTCCAATCGTTGGCTATGCTTCGACCGATCATATTTTACAAAGAAGCTGACGAATRCTCCATATCAGTTCTTCGCCGCCGTGTTTGAATAGCTCCACCGGCCTTTGCCGCTTTATTGGTAATTGTTATTCGAACTTCTTCATGGTTGGGCAATGGAAAGTCTGATCCATCGTTATCAATTGGAGAATCGGATTTGTCTTCTCCCGGCGTTATTTTTTATTGCTATGCCCTCCACAATTTTAGTATGCTGTGGGTATCGGTCACTAGATCACGACTTTTGGAGGTTCTACAAGAGTATGCTCAGGTCTTGAACCCTTCTATTAGTCGCCGCATCTTTGCGTAGTTTTGTACTGACTCATTTCGTCCTCTCTCTTTTTGTGTTTTGTTTGCAAAGGCGTCTCGCTTCACTCTTCAACATTCATTCCACGCATGTGTAGTGGTCGACTGCAACGTTGCGAAGTAGGCAGTTTGTTTTCTCTCTGCTGTGACATGGTACTCCTCGTAGTAACAGCTGTTCTTTTCCTTTTTCTGAAAACAAATGGTTTCTTTTGCAGCTGTAGTGGTCTGATCAATCTGTTCAGGTCAGAGACAGCCAGATAGCTTAGCGAATTTTTCTATGCTGAAGTCTAGTACTACAGATAACCAACTTCCGGGCCGCGGCGGAGTTGATCAGCATCAACCCATTTGGGAATTTTTCCTCGCGAAGGCTGAATTTATCGACTGTTGTGCCAAAGATACCTTCCTTGCCCACTCTGGCGTTAAAGTCGTGAAGCACGATTTGGACATCGTGGCGGAAGCTCCAACCGCTCTTAGAAGGCATACTTGGTCACATCGTATTTCTCTTTCGTCGGATCGTGAGCGCAAATCAGAGATATGTTGAAGAACTTTACGTTGATGCATATTGAGACAAGACGTTCATCCACCGATGTGAATAAAGTCCTTATCGACAGAGTCCTTCTCTCATCACGAATCCCACATCGAATTTGCGTTCTTTTATATGGCCACTATAGTAAATGGACCTTCTCGCCTCAATCCTTTTCCATCCATCAGAATTCTTGGACGGCGGTGATGTCAGCCTTTACTTTAACGACGACAACAACCAGCTGGGCAGCGGTACCTTCCCAATTAAGTGACCGGACATTCAAAGTGCATATGCTCAAATCGTAATCCTTAATAACCTTTCCATGGTCGTAATCATGATAATTTTTCATTCGGCGGGTCCCAGACCAAGCGCATCCCCCAGAGTAGGAATGGTTCGCCTTCTCACTTCAGTTCGCCTTCACAGAGATCAAAGACCGGAAGTCGTGAGTTGCTTGAGCCATATGTAAAAGTAATAAGTAATTGGTACTGAAAAATGCCTGGACTTTTCAGAGTGCTGATCAATGCATTGATTTTATTCGCTGTGCCTTGGTTAGATAGCTGTTCACAAGAATGGCTGTGTGAGCCGGAGAGTTGTCGTGGTGCAAATTACAATCGGCTGCGATGTCTTGCCGGATCTGATTGATCCTTCGTTTTAGTCTCTTTAGAATTCCCACGTAAAACTCACGGTCTAAGTTCAAAACTTTGAGCACGCGAGTCACATTGCCGGAGTTTGTCGTAGTTGCAGATCTCCCAGCATGGTCTTCATCAGCGACTTCTTCCAGGCTCTCCAAAAAGGCCTAGTGCCACCGAAACACACCACTTCGTGCAAAAGCAACATCTGGGTAAGCCTGCTTGAACATATCAAACGTCTCTGTCGCAGATTTACTGACTTTCACTCAGAATTTAATCGCTTACCTCTGCTCTAACGACCGCCGCATTTTCGGCACCACTCACAGAAACACGTCGCTCGAAAATGTTTGTCCTGATTCTCCAAGTGCTTGGAGGCAACTGACCAGCCGCTTATTTGTTAGCTAGGAATGCCCTCTACCGACTCCAGTCCATGAGTGAGTTAAATAATAATAATATTATGCTTGTTATTTGATCTGTTTGAGTTTGATATATCCACCTTCACGTTTGACGGCAATACTAAGACTAATAGCGGGATTCTGTAACCAGTCTCTAGTCTCTATTTGATACATTTTGAGGTAAAATCTCAGTTTGTGACTAGTTACTGTTCACTAAACAGTCTCCAGCTCCAGTCTCAAAATATTGCCTCAAATTTGAGACCTGGTAGTTAGCGGGTCACAAAACCAAAAAGAACTCTTGTCTGCCATTTTGAATATACTGAATAGAGATCATTATAGATATTAATCGATTGTCGTTTTTTTATTTTTTGTAAGCAACTCAAACACGCAAAGGTTAAAAATAAATCAATTTTACATAAATTTCGTTAATATTATGAAACRAAGTCAACATATATTTTTATTTTTATTGATAATTATGATTTCTGACTATGTTATAGAAAATTTAATATTTGTTATCGACATATTAATTTTCATTGAAGAATAAAAACATCTCTGAATAATGAAATGTAATAGATTTTGTGACTGTCACTTACAGAATAGCAAAATCGTCTCAAGTCTCAAAAATTGTCTCTGTCAAATTTAGAGATTTGATACTGTATCACAGAATCGCACGGTAAAGGACATTAGGTTTGCTTACAACTATTTGTACTATCGACAGAACATTCATGTTGTTCTGTTGTGTTCTTATTTTAAGCTGATAAATATATTGGATAAGTTCTTATCTGTTACTGATAATTACAATACATTGATAAGAATTTGTTGATATATTTGGGTTCGTGAGTATAATAAGGAATGTTATCTTTATAACTCTCCCCTCTGTTAAAATGAAATGTCCTCATTTCAAAGGCTGTGTTTGGAGTCGCTGTATTTCCATTTCATATACCTGTTCGAAAGCTCGTCGTTTGTTGGCTTCTTATTTAATCTGGTAACATTTACATGCCTTTACTGAGGCGTATATAAATAATCCTAATATTATTACTAAAAGAATAGCATAGCTTCAAAATTGTAAAGGGCGTTCCTCAACAGGAATTAGGTATTTATACGTTTCCTATAAAAAAAAAAAAAATTGTAATTCGATTTGGATTCCGAAACACCCAACTTTACTTTTACACGGTAGATACGTTCCTCAGAAATCCGTGTAAAAAGAGAGACGTTTCCTATAGTAAAATGAGGGATACGTTCCATGTCATCTGAAAACCCTGTAAGATGAAATAAAGAACTATGTTTACTTCGAAAAATGGTGTAAAAAATATTGAAAATTATAATGTTTTAAATATGCAAAGAAATTGTAGTATGTTCATATGGCATTTAATTGAGTATTTAAACTTAAAATACGTAATTCATACAGGTGAAAAATTGGTAGAGCAATCAAACAACAAAAGAAATTTATTAATCCAGAATTAAGAAACAGAAAAATTAGAATAGAAATAAAGAAAATATATTTACTTGTTTGCGACGAACGCGTTCCATATTAGAACCATTTTTAAGAAATCTCAATCTTCAATCCAAAATTTTTTAAGAAATGATTCTCCATACTTTTACCAAATGTTAGACAATCTTCAATTAAACTAGCTGTCGAAATGAACTCCAGTCCCCGAACTAACCTACTTCAATACAACACATAATACAAAACCTCAATACAACACTCATTGCATCCACACGCTAATCGAGAAAAACTCATCACTGACACCCCTCCACACCACACTTAGGAACACTATTACATCTAAGCACCACATATCACTACTTATACAACTACACCACACACCATGTCACCGCTGAAGAGGACACCACACACTTTTTCGTTTCTTTTTCCAGTTCATTTTTTTCAGTTTTTTCAGTTCATTGAAACACATACACCAATATACGATTATACCGGTTCATTAGCGAAAACCTAAGTAATAAAATTGAA